ATGTTGCAGAGTATAACCTTTACCCCTTCCATCATTGCTTCAACGCAAACTATTCTTCCCTCTGTATCTTTAGCTTGTTTTATGAACTGAAAACTGAATATTTTTCTTAATGAGAATAATTAAACCATTGCGAGCACTTGAGTGAGAGCYATGAAAAATATGTCCTACCCAACCCATCTTAAACTTGGACTCTTCCCCCTCATTTAGGTGAGTTTCTTGGAGAAAAATTATATCGGTTTGATTTGTTTTTAAATAAGCCAATATTTTACGCCTTTTGGCTGGATTTCCGCATCCATTAATATTCCAAGATGTGAATTTTATATACTTCGCAGTCATTACAGATTATAGATTGATACACATTTTAAACCTATAACAAAACACTTTGAACAGATATATCTATACCCCCTGTCCCCTGATCCCCAACCTACTCTGTGAGTGCACCCAGCCAAAATGAAAACAATTTACATGGGCAATAAATATTCCCGTCATGTAAACGAATAGAAACAACATTAAAAAAAGAAAGAAAAAAAACAACTTAAAACCTACTCTATTGCTGCTGTCTACGGCAGCTGAAGAGAAAAAGAAAGAATAACTAAGAGAAAAAACCTTATCAGGTCAAAAAGAAAAAAATTGTATAGGTCTTCTGGACGGGTTCTTCTTTAATGAAACGTTTCGTCTCTCCTCCAAGAGACTTCTTCAGTCTGAGAGTTTCAGGCAAAATTCAGGCTTTTAAGCACTGCCTCCATGTGACTGATACTCGCGACTATCTTGCTGTGAGGTTCTGGCCAGTATGCTGTACGGATTTAAAATGAAAATTTTCTGTTTTAAGGTCAGTCATCTTGAATTGGGTTGACTCCAATACCTAATCAGGTGCAGATGTCCGTCCAGGTGGCACTTCCTAAAAATTAAACTCTGTCCAGTGGTTCATATGATATTTTGTTAACAGAGCCCCGACACATTATCTGCTTTGAGCAGCAAATAGGGCTGCAACTAACGATTACTTTAATAATCGATTAATCTGTTGATTATTTTTTCGATTAATCGATTAATC